CTTAGCTCCAGGATGAATTGTAACACTGACTATTATTATTGCCATTTATATAGCGCCATAAGATTCTGCAGTGCTGTACAATAATATTAGAGGGGGGATTTAACTATAAGTAGAACAATTACAAGAAAATTTACAGGAAAGATAGGTTGAAGAGTACCCTGCTCAAACAAGCTTACAGTCTATAGGAGGTTTGATATAAAACACAATAGGACAGGAAATATCAATCAAATAAGGTGGGAGTGAAGCAGAGCTGGAAAAGAGTGCTGCCCTTTAGGAGAAAGCAAGAGACAGGTATGCGAGGTTGAGGTTCCTCTGGGAGGCCATAAGCTTTCCTAAAGAGATGGGTTTTAAGGCACTTCTTAAATGATGCCGGTAGGCAGGCTGTACCACAGGAAGGGAGCCGCCTGCAAGAAGTCTTGCAAGTGTGAGTTGGCTGTACGGGTGCGAGCAGCAGACAGGAGAAGGTCATGGGCAGAGCGGAGAGACTGAGAAGGGCATACCTATGGATTTGTGAAAAGATATAAAAGGAGCTAGAATTGTTTAATGCTATATAGGTATGGATTAATACTTTGAATTGACTCCTATAGTATACAGGAAGCCAATGTAAGGACTGACAGAGGGGTGAGGTGTGAGAGGACCAGCTGGAGAGCAAAATTAGTCTGGCGGCAGCGTTCATTACAGAATGTAGCAGGGTAGTGCAGCTACCAGTTAGGAGAGGGTTACAATAACCCATGCGAGAAATTACTAGAGCATAGACAAGCTCCACATACTATAAGCTAGATCTGGTCACACAATATAAGAACCCAACTTTATGAATGTTGCTGAATTGAATGAAAATAAATCTCCAGTGCTCTAAAATCCAGAAAAAAAAATCCTTCTCAAAAAAGACACTATAATAGCAGTAATGTGAGGATGAACTCAAATATGATTATCTTCTCTCTTACAATGAGATGTCCAGTGAGAATGTGTCCACATTGTTATGGCCATGTATTGTTTAAGCCTACAATTCTAAAAATGCCCAAGCTTTCAAAACAATTATACAGGTATACAAAATATTTAGCGCTTGAAATTTGATATACACATGTAAAAGTTAAAAGCATCAATTCTCTATGCATGATCAGTCACTATTCTTCCGCTTCGAGGAATCTGTACTAAACTTGTTAATTTGTGAGATGGACAGGCTTTTTAAATAATTCGACAAGCACTCAAAACTTAAAGCAAGCACAAAAACATTCTAACATGAAATGATACAATCTGTTGCTGTCTTACCGTGTTTAAATAGACAGACTAGTAAAGGGGAAAATAACAACAGCTGAAAACTGTTGCAGACTACCAACCCGCTATAATGTAAAACACAATTCCCTGTGTAATCATATGCATATACACTGATATTAATTCTGCAAACCTTAAATTAATTTAAAAAGGATAATTAGTGTGCAGTGTCTGAATTGGTTCCTTTGAGGGTTAGTGTCCATTTTGTTTGTCACTGTTTCCAGCATAATCCTGTCTAATGAGGTTTATGTTAACATGGTTAAGTACTTGCAGATATAAGCTAGAAAGTACAGTAAGCTTATATACGACATGATGTTTAAATGTAACTGCCGTCAGCGATCCAGTAATAATTTTCTGATTTCTTATTTATATATTTCTATTCTCTATCACATGTCCAGATGAATGTCAATTTGTAATTAACTATTAATAATTCATTTTTTTTAAGTGACTGGGTTTGAGAAACTGTTAAGAAATATATGACTACCCTTCTCAATATTCTCCATTATGCACACCAGATAAACATTATTTTTTTTTTCTTAGAACAGATCATGCATTTAAGTGCGTGGCTTCAAACAACTTGCAGACTTTTAAACACAAGCCTACAGCCCATTACACCCTATATTTGAGTACTGGTGTACATCACTTGCTCCCACTTCAAAGAGATTTTCAGCTAAAAGGTGGGGTAAGGCTTATCTAAAATGGTCTGAAGGTTTAGAGATTAAAAACTCTTTTGGAAATCTATGGAGGACTTCAATTTTTCACCACTTTATGTATAGCTCTGTCAAACACTTATGTTTAAGAGTGTTTGTGCAGGAAGAATTAGTCGTTGTTGCATAGTCTGTATTAAGCTTTGATGTTCACAGAAACTAAACGGTAATGTAGTATTTCCAAATTACACACCATCTATCTTGTGTAAAAAGGTAAATAGGAGAACTTCATAATGGCTTTGTCTGTTTAATTCAGTCACTTATTATTGAAAGAATGTACAAATCTATATTCCTATTAAATATCTTCAACAAATACACTTCTATTTCATGAAAATATTAGTTTAATGATTTTATATATTTAACATTTACATATATCTTCTTTTTTTTTTCTTTGTTGTACATGAAGAAAACACAGTTCCCATAATTATAACTGGATCCAGTTACTTGTTAGGAATTTATACACATGTTAAATTCAGCTAAAAGCAGAGTTACTTTTTAAATGCAGGTATTTGAAAATTACAAATTGTCATAGGATATTTCACTCATCTAAACTGTAAGAATATTAAATTTTTGTAATGTGTGTTAGAATTTTCTGTGCTATGGTATCTATTGCCCTATGATCAAATGGGCATTCTGTGGGTACCATAAATATTTATTTAGCATAATACACAAAAGGGATATAGTTAATTGGTTTAAAAAAGAAACAGATCCATTAAGTTTAACCTTTCTAAACATGCACATTTGTGTATGCAGAAATGCAACACAGTCAAAAACAAACAAATAAATAAAATATATACATACCTACTTACATACATACATACCAGGACTCCATGCTATTAGATAGGATAAGACCTCCCTGAAGTTTTTCTGCTGTGTGTGCTATTCATATAGTATGCTACATCATGCAGGTGTGTCGGTCAATTTATTCACAGCTTAAGTATACATGTATATAGCTGTGTTGCTGAGAATACCCTCAGTTCAACTCTGATCATTTGAAACTAGGAATTTCATGGACTGAATGTGCCTCATGACTAGTGGATCATAGCCATGATCTGGAGCACATGCAAGGAAATGTTAGAGCAATGGCATAACATTTTATTGGGTTAACATTGCAAGGCTTAATATCTAACATACAGACACCCTTCTGGTTTTCAATGTTCATGGTAGTGCTCTTGTGCTGCTCTGGATTAGGTTGGTTGTTTACAATTCTTGTCTACATCTGTATTTAGAGCCTCCTCAAATAGAAATTAGTATAGCTGTGTGAGTCTTTCTCAAATGCTTATCAACTCCATTGGGCTAATTCATTAGAACACACAGCACCAGTCCTTTTCCAAGAATGAGATCATGAGATTGTCTTTTTAGTCCATGTTTCCCTAGGTACAATCAGGAATAATGGGCACAGGGTCCAGAAATGAGAGATCTGATGAACATTTGTAATGTAGATTTTTTTTGTACTTCAGATACGAACAGGTACTTATTCTTAGTAGCTGTGCAGTCAGTTACACTGTATAAAATGTACCTGCTTGAGGTTGGTAGAAGTCAGCCTTGACATCCACCTGGCAGGAAGGGAAAGGTTTACTATTAATAATTATGTAGATGAAATTAACCGGGAGGTTCATACAGAGTTTATGGTGACCACAGCATGCCCTCATTTCTTGAGAAGCAGTATGAGGGTGCAATAAACACTTCAAACAAAGGATTATGTGATGTTACATTTAATTAGTACATTTCACAGTATTATTGTTATCTTGCACTCTATGATAGGGACTGCCGAGAAATGCCTGTTCTGAGTGTTCCCCCAATTCCTCTTTTTTCTATGTAAGTTTGGAGCCCAGACGAAATTAATTTTGGGTTGAGCACTCTGCCTGCTCCTCTACTTCAGATTGCCCTTTGGAGGTGACCACAGAAAAGTATAAACCTGAGGAGGTTTGTCACTTCAACAATATTTATTTGATAAAGAGCATATAAGCACTATGAATATATACATAAAAGCACAATCAGTATAATTATTAAGTTATGGCATTGTATTTTTTTTTAATTGAGTTTTTTTATTACATTCATTTTATATGATATATATTCACAATGCTCTTACAACTGATTAATTGAATGCACTTTAGTTTGTATATTCATTTAGCACTAGCACTATTTAAGTTGTTGTTTATCTCCCATATTAAAATTAGTGTAGGACCCAGCAATATTTTATAATTTGTATTTTATTGAATTTTATGCACTTAGGCAAACATTCACATCAGAGTATTAACGTTAGGAAAGTTTGCATGTCATAACAATATATTGGGTATGGGGCTTTGCAGGTTGTGCACTCTGTGCATACTCCAGTGACTCTTAGTCCAGGTGGTGCTGCCCTATAGCGTGTGCCAGGGGTATTGGCAAGTCTGTGGTACAGTGCCGGTGCTAGGTGAGCTTGTGTGTGGGTTGGGGATCGGGGTGGTGACAGGGGATCAGAAGTCAGGGCAGTCCCAGGGATTGGGTTCTATGTTAGTGGCTTGGGTATACACTGCTCTCCTGGCGTTCCGATGTTCATAGTCTGCGGACTCCCAGGCTGTCAATCCTGAGGTGGGTTCGCAATTTGTCTTCCCCTGCTGCTTCCCTCTCTCCTCCTTTGTAGTTGCTTGTGCTCATCTTTGCCGGCGAGTTCTCCCGTGCCATGCAGCAGCTTAGTTTCTCTGGATCCTCATCTGAGGTAAGTGTGAGGAGTTGGCCGCCGTGGGACACCATCAGGGTTCCGTCAGCTCCCCAGCGGGACCTCACCGAATTGTCTCTCAGTTTTTTGGCCATTGGGGCCAGTTTTGTTTTTTCTAGTAGTGCAGCAAAAGGGATATCACTGAAGAACAGGATAGTAGCTCCCTCAAATTCTGCGCTTTCCATCTCTATGGAGCGTGTCATGATGGCCGTTCGTACGGCTGTGTCTCTAGTCACTATTATGGTGTCTCGAGGGGCTGCCTTTGGCGCCGACAGAGCCTTCCTGACCCTGAAAGCCGCAGTAATCATTGTGGGGTCTGCTTATCCCTGCAAGCCAATAGATGTAAGTAGCTTTAGGATGTATGGTAAGAGTGCGTCTCCTTTAATGGCCTCAGGTATCCCCCTCAGGCATATATTGTGGCGTCTATGTCTAGCCTCCTGGATCGCCACAGAGCGGTGTAGTCTTTGTACATGCTGGGTTAAGCCATCAGGGGTATGTTCAATGGCTTGCAGCCGGGCTTCCCGGGCGTTGCCTTTCTCCTCCACCACTTGGAGCTTGTTCTGTATTGCTCCCATTTCCTGTCGTAATTCTCGGAGGTCCGACTTCCAAATTTGGCGCATCTCCAGGAGCATGTGTTTAATGTCCCCCTTGGTTGCTGGGGACGAATCTTCATCAGATTCAGCTTCCCAGTGCAGGTTGCCCTTGCTGTGTGTGGTGGAAGATAGCCTGTGTTATTGATTCTAATGTGAGACTAGGTATAGCTTACTACTGTATCTACCTACGGTGAGGGGGAAAAGTATTTGATCCACTGCTGATTTTGAACGTTTGCCCTCTGACAATGAAATTATCAGTCTATAATTTTAATGGTAGGTGTATTTTAACAGTGAGAGACAGAATAAAAAAAGGGAAAAAAAAGAAAAACACGTGTCAAAAAAGTTATAAATTGATTTGCATGTCAATGAGTGAAATACGTATTTGATCCTCTATTAATCAGCAAATATTCTGGCTCCCAGGTGTCTTTTATACAGGTAATGAGCTGAGATTAGGAGCACTCTCTTTCCACAGAAGCAATCAATCAATCAGATTCCAAACTCCCCACCATGGCCAAGACCAAAGAGCTGTCCAAGGATGTCAGGGACCAGATTGTAGAGCTGTCCAAGGCTGGAATGGGTTACATGACCATCGCCAAGCAGCTTGGTGAGAAGGTGACAACAGTTGGTGAAATTATTTGCAAATGGAAGAAACACAAAATAACTGTCAGTCTCCCTCGGTCTGGTGTTCCTTCCTCGTGGAGTTTCAATGATCATGAGAACGGTTAGGAATCAGCCCAGAACTACTTGTTAATGATCTCAAGGCAGCTGGGACCATAGTCACCAAGAAAACAGTTGGTAACACACTACGCCGTGAAGTAATGAAATCCTGCAGCGCCCGCAAGGTCCCCTTGCTCAAGGAAGCACATGTACAGGCCTGTCTGAAGTTTGCCAATGAACATCTGAATGATTCAGAGGAGAACTGGGTGAACTAACATTTCTTTGTCAGTGGGCAAACGTTCAAATTCAGCAGGGGATCAAATACTGTTTTCCCTCACTGTAGCTTAGCTTCTGCTGGTTGAAACAACTTTGAGTGGGAGAAAGGGATTTGCTATTGTGTCATTGAACCTTGTGTATGAGTAGATTTACCTCTGTTCTTGTGCATCCAACTTGTCTGGTTACAATTACATGTTTGTTAGTCCACCCATTGTAAAGCGCTGCAGAATATGTTGGCGCTATATAAATAACAATAATAATAATAATAATTTAAGGTACTGTTGTATCTAACTAACTAGCTAATAATAGTTGATCTACGCCAGTGGCAATTAAAACAACTTTGAGTGGAACATAGGAGATTGCTATTGTGTCATTGATGCTAGTTTGAAACTAGGTTAACAATGAACAGTTTTTAAAAGTAGTTTTTTTAACTGTTAGCAGAAATATGTTAGCAAAAAAATAATAATAATCCTCTTGCCTGCAACTGCCACATTGGCATTCACACAAGGTTTAAGTGGTAGAGAGCCTTATTCATTCATCATAGAGTATCATTGGTGGTTATAATTAGTGCAGAGTCCTACTGCTAGCCACTGCTGCTTAACACCAACTTGTAATCGCCAATTTACCATTTTTTTAAGTTTTTTTAAGTGTGTGGAAGAAGAAAATTCTTTTAGCTTAAAGGAAGAAAAGTCCATCTTGCCTAGCTACTAGTCTTGGAAATTCATTTTAGACCTTAACACAAATTGGCAGAATTAGAGCCGATCATGTTATCGACTAAATTCCTGAATTCCCAGCCAAAATGTATCCGAATCGCAGACCACAGACCTAACTGCACAATTCCAGATATATTCAGTTTGTGATTATGAATACCGCCTATGGCACCAAAAAAAAAAAAGAGATGATTGATTGGGAAAAGATGATGATTGGTGGCTAGACGATAGTCACTAACTAATGATTTTATTCATAGATCAAGTGAGAAGTGAATAATATATAAATAAAGATTTTTTTTACTGCTCCTATTGTTTAATCCTCTATTGGTAAATTTTCTCACTTGATTCATGAACCACATGGTGTGAAAATCATTAGTGTACTTCAAAATATACTCATAATACTACATTATGTATATATTTTTTAAGGTCCACTAGTTGTTCCATTTGAATGCCTTTTGTTGTTTTTTCTCTTCCCAAATTAGAAATATGTGTGCTGGGTATGTAATGTGTGTTTGTGTGTGGGCCTATTTGTGTGCTGGGGGTGCAGTGTACTGCAGCCACAAATGACACTTACCTTTGTTGTATACGCAGTGGTGTGGCTTCTGACTGGAGTATAACCTGACTCCTGTCCTGCTCCTGTCTGCCTACTCCTCCATCAGGGTGCTCTGTGTCCTATTGCCGCTGCAGCACCCAGATAATTTGACATTGACATTGAGGCTAAAATAAAGTTTTGTATTACTTTGACAGCATCCCAGACGGGGCAAATTACAAAGTGTAAACTGTGTGTCAAGGAAGTGAGTAGGAGGAGAGCAAGGGGTCATCTCACTAGTGCTGATATGACCTAACATCTGCAAAGACACCACAAGTCTCTATTACCAAGGTACAAAGGAGAGATAAAACGTATGATGGCAGGTAGCTGGTTTACTGGTGCTGTATCAGATTCTGCACAACAAGTTACCCCAATCGGTAGCTCCTACACTACTACCACCCTTCAGCAAAGCAATGGAGTTGTTGAGCCTAGTGCTACTACGTGAATGAAACAGGCAGACTCCCAGTCCTCATCAGCGCAGGAACATATCCACCAGCCAACACTTAAACATCTGATTTCATTTCAGTGACATATCAAAACAGCAGACTAAAAAAATCAACTGATTGCTGTAAGGGGAGTTGTTTAAGCAGCTGATACAAGCCCTTGCTCCACAATATGGGCTTCCCATGTGAATGCAGGAAGATAGTACCCTTACTGTACCATTCCGGTGTTCTACTATTGAGGCTACCTAAGGATGTAGGTCAGTAGGTGTATGTTGTCACAGATTTATTGAATGCTCCTAGTGGACAGAATGACTTCTTCACCTTGACAGCACACTGGTGGCAGCCCATGGTCCATGGGCATTGTGATGGTAGTGGAAAATGTCCAACCTAAGCATCATGTCAGACTTATAGTACATATGATGTGCAGCAGGGTTATCAATCTTTCTGGTTACATGCTGAAGTGGTGGACGAAAACACACTTCTGCAAACATAAATGCTGTCAAATACGTTGGTAGATTAGGCAGGCACCAATCTACACATGGTCACTGATGAAGCTGCTAACATGGTCAAAGTTCTGCAACAGGGATACTTTGGACGAGTGAAGGGCTATCAATTAGACTAGTTTTTAGACTAAAGATTAGTTTTGAGCTAAACTGCAGTTCGGCTGAATTTGGGCAGATTGGGTGTGTGGCTAAATTCCCGAACTCCAAGCCTAAATGTACCCGAAATACAGACTACCTAAAACTAGCCATGGCAAGCATGTTCAATTTGGCTTGTAACTATGAATTTCAACTGTGACACCAAAAAAAAAAAGATGATTGATGGCTAAGGGACATCAATCATCTCGCTATGCACAAGTCTGCAATCCATAATCTATCTTCCTCACTACTTCATTAGCTTTACTCCAATAAAAGGACAAGAGGATTGGACAATAATAGGCAGCTAGTGTCAGTTATTTTTCCATTTATAGATGTGATAGAAACGTGAAAACACAGTAGTGCCAGTTTGGGATAGGTCTCCCAAATGTTTTCCTCCGTATAAACTAGATTCCTTGAAAAGTTGTTTTTGGTGGCACACTTAACATCAATGTAGCAAAAGTGAACAGGGAGTTGAAAGATCTACTTAACGATCATCTGTGATCCTCTGAATAGGAGGAAAATGGCACTCTGATCCAGCACCCTGACATACTGGAGGAACAGACTTTTTGACACGGTCTAGGATTTGCTATAAAAGAGGTGCATGCTGGCTGAGAAAGGTTTGCACATTGTCAACAGTGGAGGCAGCCAGGGCCGGACTGGCCCACCGGGATACCGGGAAATTCCCCGGTTGGCCGTCGGCACCTTGGACCGGGCAGACACCTGGGTCTGCTGAGGGCCGCTGGGGGCTTGTGCTGGCGGACGATGGGGGAGGTCTGATGGCGGCCGCTGGGGGAGGTCTGCTGGTGGCCGCTGGGGGAGCTGTTCTATCTCTGCTCCCCAGCGCGCTGCTGAATGAGACGGGTCTCACATGTTTTTATGTCAATGAGCTGATGTATATCAGTGAGAATGTTTGTTTGTCTATGAGGCTGTGTATCAATGAGCTTGTGTGTGTCATTGAGATGTCAGTGAGATTGTCTGTGTCTGCATGTGAGTATGCTTACTGTATAATTAAATGTTTTACTCTGAAAAGATCAATATTTTATATTAGAAAAAGCAATTTATTATATGTGTGTGTGTGTATATATATATATATATATATATGTATATATATATATATATATATCTTACTCAATCTTCTGTCATGGCAAGACATAGCCTTACATATTACACGCAACAATATATGGCGCAATGACTTATGGGGCTGGCATAAATTTTTTTTCCAGGGCTGCTTTGCATCCCCAGTAGGGCTCTGGAGGCAGCAATATCCCAATACAGCGAAGTGGAGAATTTTCGATTTGGGCTGAGTCTGTTGGCAGTTTAGCAGCTATTGTCATGACCACCGACCATTGTCCAAAGTGAATTACTGTTTTCTCTTACAGGAAACATTCTGAATCCCCAACGCTCACAAGAGTGTGTGCAACTGATGGAGGAAATAGACTTCCTCAAGTTCAATCTCCCAAAGTTAGATTACCCTGTGATACTTAAGACATCATTATCTGCTAGCTGAAAGCCAAATGGTTTAAAGTTGTTTCAAAATGTATAAAAGTATTTAAATCTGGCAGTTAATAAAAAAAATGCAATTTAAACATTTCCTGCTTCTGAACTTTAGCCACTGTATGCTCTCCTGCCCTAGGCCAGTCACCACCTTACTCCTGCGTTGAACCAGTCCCTAGCATTACCCAAGAATGATATGTTCTTATGATAACAATTCCCT